CCCCCTCCTCACCCCCCTCCACCGCAGCCCTGCGTGTCCCCCAGCCACAGGTTATTGTGCAATGAGCCGGTGGCAGCCACAGCACTTAACTGCATGGAAAATAGCAGAAGGAAAGAATCGGGTGTATTTTTAGCTTATTTTCCTGCAATTTAGCAGTGGGAAGAGAAAAAAAAAAAAATCAAGTTGTTCCATGAGACGTAATGAAGTCTGGTTTCCTATGGATTTGTGCACTATATCCCCTAAATTCCCCCTCTCCTGTGTCCTCCTAGGCATCCTGTCTGCCCGCTCACACTAATCCCCAGCTCTCCCCAGGTCTCCCACCCATCTGGCAGGGCGGGTGGCAATACCCGCTGGGCTTGGCCAAGGGGCCAGCCACTGCAAGTGCTGATGGCTTGAGCACTAGCCACAGCACTGCACCGTAAGTGACTTTTAAGGCATCCTTTGTGTCTCTCACCTCTGCTCAGGCACTGATTTTTGTATCGTTCGTAGGACATTAATGTTCTTGATGCTGCTAGTCCTCTGTCAAAAGTCTGCCAGATGGACCAGGAAATTCTCAGGGGGTGGCTGACCACCAGACAACACCATCCCATCCACCTTATACCCTAAAAAGACAGGCTAAAAGGAGCTTTTTTTGATTCTGCTCCCAAATTCCCACCATCCATAGAGGTTTGCAAAGCAAGGACTGAGAGCCCCTCGCAGAGGGTATGTAAATGCAGTCTTCCCCCCAAAACCCAAAGGTGCCTGCAGGCATCTGCACTTTCCTGTGCCTGGCAGAGCAGGTAGGCCAGGCAAGGTGCAGGATGCAGCTCCGGCTGTGTGTACTGAGTGGTTTGGGACATGGCTAACCCAGTGGGCAGACAGGCTAATGCTAAACGTGTGTGAAGTCGCACCCGAGTTCAAAGGCTGGGAGTGTTTCATCCACTACCAAAAGATGACATCAGCTGGACCAAAACTATAAACAAACACTCCAGTTTGCCAGAGCCACGGATTACTAACAACTCTGTTTAATAGTCAGTTAAATTGTCATCTGGAGTTTTACATAGTGTTACAATGATTTTTTTTGTTGCTGTTGTTTAAAACTTTTTTTTTTTTTTTAAGTAATCTGGAAGGGTTTTGTGTTTCTTGCCACATGGCTATCTCACCCTAAAGCACCCTACTTTCAATCTACAGTAGTAAAACATCACATTAGAGTTTCAATAGAACATCAAGGAACATGAATTGTAGCCATCTTTGTAAAAAAAAGGACCAAACCATCTTTATATGTTAAATAACTCCACGACAAGTAAAAGATAGTAATGCTATTACAGGGGTACAGGTGCAGCAAAGAAAAGATAATGACCCAGAGGTTCATCTCAGGTGAATGATCGCTCATTAATTCAGAAATAAAACAAGAAGAGAGGGCAGGGGGGACAAGGGAGGTTGCAGAAATGGATGGAAAATGGTGTCTTCTCCAGCTTTCGTGTGGTTGGCAGCATGGGAAGAACCAGAAGTCCAAGAAAGAAAATACTGTGCAGACCCAACAGTAGGACCCTGCGGCAGATGTGGACGGTGTCAGCTCTGCAGGGAAGGGCATACCTCAGGGCTCGCCCATGGCTGTTTTGGATGTGCAAGCCCCGTACAACACATCTCACCAAGGCCAGGTCTGCAGCCATGGTGCAACCTCTCCCTCCAGACTGGGCCCCCATGGCAGGCTGCTGGCATTTGTCTGAGATGGGCTCATGTGTTAGTTGAAGGATTTTGGCAAGAAAATCCAAGTTTGGGCAAAATTCTGACTTGCAAAGCCAGAGTGAGGAAACCAAGAAGGAAGCCTTCACAAAGCCAAGGCCATCATGAAAATGGCCCCACAGACATGCCACGCCGGCAGGACCTGCCAACACAGTGGGTGCAGCAAAGACGCGGTGGTCAACCAGGCAGAGCACAGCCCCACCAGCACACTGTGCGGTCCATCATGGAATGGGGATGCTGAGTCCCTTCCAACTGTGCAAGGGTGCTGCTGAAGGACCTTGGACAGGTGGCTTTCCCCTCGCCCTGCAGGGTGGTCCATCTCCCAGCCCACGGGGAAGCTGGGGCCGAGGGAGCAGAGCCCAGCCCAGCCAGCTGATAATGCTGGGGTTTGACCATGCAAGGGCTTTGAAATGTGAGTGCAGAAGCAGAACATAAATATCTGCGGAGCCCCAGTGCAAATCTTGGGGCCGGACGAAAAAGTAACCTAGGCAGGTGTGAACACATGGGGTATCCAGGGTTTTCCTGGCAGCATCGCAGTGAGTGGCTGGCAGACTGCACCACTCCCATCCCTGCTGCTGCACCTAGTAAGCAATAAAAGAGAGGAGTCTGCTACCCAAAGGAAAACAGTCTGTGTTTCATATAAAGGCCACGTAAGCGGTATTACTTGGCGAGCAACCACCTTGCGTCTGGGCCAGAGCAGCCTTTGTTCAAGCATCCCTCTGAGGCGTTGAGCGGAGGTGCCCTTTGCCCGTCGCTGGACAGCTGCCCAGCTGGAAGTTAAAAGTTGTCTCAGCATCCACTGGGAGAAGCAAGAGGATAAACCAAAGTGTCTTGGCCAAGACCGCCGGTGGCTGAAAGGAAAAGGAGCAATGGCTCAGTACAGATCACCTGCCCACGTATACTTGCGCATGGAGACGGTGCTCGTCTTGCTCTGAGCTCCAAGCCCTTGGCAGCATCAGGCACATCAAAATATAAGGAGAAACATGTGAGAAAAAGCCAAAATAATCCAGTAAGACTTCTTTCTTGCAAAGACCAGGCATTTGCCTGATGACCTCTGCTAGACACATTCATTACAGAAATGACATGGGGACGCCCCGGTAATACTGACTGCTGGTGGCTACTCCCAGCAGCTCCCTGGTCCAGGCCAGCTGCCCCTGGAAGAGAGGTCTGCCCGCAAGAAGGGAAGAGCAAAGCAATGTGTGGTCCTGCAGGAAGATACCGAACTGCTGTTGAGCAAATACTGTACTGCAGCACTGTCGGCTGTGACTGGCTGTGGATAACAGCAGCCTCCCTCTCAGCACCACGCAAATATTTGAGCTGTGTCCTTGGCAGGTAGGAGGAGAAATGAGGCAGAAAATCATGAGAGACAGGCTGAAGATTGCTCCTGCCAAGACTGAAAAAATGAAAAGGAAATTTCTCTCTGAAGAGGCATCGTAAAAATCCCACTGTAGGGCTCCTGGCTTGTCCAGATCAAAGGTGCACAGCTGGCAAGTTCAGAAATGCAAACCAGGCTGGAAGCTGAAGCTAAAAGGAAGCTGTTTCCTGCCTCCAACACTGTCAGTGGTAACAGAGTTTTGAAGAACAGTTTGCTCTGAACCAAGCCCAGTGTCCCAGGACAACCCCAGTTCTCTGGTTTTAAAAAAAAGTCACTGGTGAGAGCTGCATATGTGAGCCTGAACACAGGCAAGCAACACCCCCAGAAGCAGGCCCGCCACGCCATGTCACCGAGCCCTCTCTGGGACCAGGACCTCCAGGACCATCCTGCACCGCCGTGCTGGGGTATGCTACATCCCACTCCCTTTGCCATGCAGAGCCTGTGGCTATGCCACAGCTACAGGGCGGCTGGTGCAGAAGGCAGCCTCGTCTGTGCCATCTGGGTGCTGCTGTCTTGGCTGGGGCTCTTCTGAGCAGTAGTTTGACATTGCTTCAAAGTCTTTATTATGGTGGGTAAAAGAAAAAATAATGGAAGGGATTTTTAAGTTGACTTCCTAGGAATGTGGTCCCACAAGAAGAAAGCTCATGATGTCCAGCTGACCACTGATCCTGAGGCTAAGCTGCCTTTGCTCTGGAGGACTCTGCATCTTGGAGCAGACATGGGCTTTGACCATGACAGAAGAACCTGAGGAGACAGGCTCACCAATGCCCCTCTCTCCTCATCCCAGCTGGTGACACCATGTCAGCCCTGCCCTGCAATGGCACCATCGCTCAGCCAGGTCTCATCCAGACCTCATGCTTTACAACTGCAAAAAAACCCAACAATCCCAACCCTCTTGGCCATCCAGTGGCTGTTTTGCTCAGCCATAACCATTAGTGTCTCAACCTGATCTGCATATCCTGCCTCCATTTTCCCAACCCTGCATCACCTGCTCTCCCGTCCTGGCTGTGTCACCGTGTTTCTCCTGTGACCGATGTCCCCCACCCTTGGGGATGGTCCCCACAGCCAGGGCAGGGATAGGGCAGGAGGAGAGGGCTGTGCCCTCCCAACCTGCCCTCTCCACCAATGCTGAGGAACCTCTTGGCAAAATGAGTAAAACAAAACCAAGAAAACTGGGTCCCACAAGACTTCTAACTAGAAAGGCTTTTGGCCAAGTCAAAGAAGAAACTAATACTGAGTCAGTCCTGCACAGAGCAGCCGGTTTCGCTCCCTGGTCCAAATTTTTGCCGCCAGAAACATCAGCGACATCCTCCCCCGCCATGGGTCCGTGTATAAAACCCTCACAAATGCCTGTGGGAAGGCCAGCGTGAGAGCGGGCACCCACAACCCTCAGTAGTCCTTGTCACCATAGTCATTGTAAAGGACACTCAGCGTCTGCTCCTCGCACGTCTTCTTGAGGTCCCGGCTGAGCTCTGACCAGTCGAGCCCATAGGGCTTGATCTCACTGTAGCGGCAGGCGAGGTACTTGAGGGATGAGCGCTGGAGGCTGATCTTGGGCTCTTGCAGGAGGCCATTGCACCAGCTGCTGAGGTCCCCCAGCTGTGAGAGGATGAGGCCGGCCTTCCTGCAGCGAGGATGGGCAAGGGGAGATGTCGGGGGAGACGGACAGCGAGGGGGTGGCGGGGGTGATGGAGACACCATGGCGGGATGGCAGGAAGGGCAGGAAAGCACATGAGGAGAGAAAAGCAAAGATGGTTAAGGACACCGTGGGAGCTCCTGGAGGGAGAAGAGATAACGCAAGAGTCGGGCAGCATGAAGAGCAGCTGAGCGGAGCCCGATGCTGCCAGGACGAGGAGGGATGGTGGGGCTGGGGGGACACACCAGCCCCGTGGCAGCACTGCAAGCCTAAATGCACGAGAGCAGCCCCTACCCGGGTCAGAGATGCCCATGCTACCACAGTGGTGCTGGACCTGCCGCACTGGTCTTGGGACTCACCTTACACTTCCCTGAACTGTCTCCCCTTCTTCTTCCACCCTGTATTGTCCCCACAACAAGGCCAGGTTTGCTGAGGGTTTAGTGAGGGGACAGTCACAGGTGTAGCTGTGAAACCCCCAACACCCCTTGGGATGGACATCATCAACAACTCAAATGGCATTACCAGTCACTGCTGCAGCTACTGGACCCCAAATACAATAGGATGGGAAAGTGGGAGCCAATAGCACTGTAGGCAGTGGGGAGAAATGGTAAAAGGTGTCAGGCATCACATGTGTGGCCAGATCAGGGCAGTGTCACCACATGTGTCCTCTCCATGAAGTGCATGCGTTGCATGTTTGGGAACCACAGTTCCCAAACTGTGGTTGGTCATGTGACATGTTGGTTGACCAGTGGTCAACTGGTCATGACATGGTTGACCAGTGACATGCCGGTCACTCATGGCTTGGTGTAGGACACCTCCAGTGACATGGCAGAAAGGGCCGGGAAAAGGCAGGCATGCTGGGAGCATCGCTCCCTTGCCATCATGTGGCTGAGGGGGACGTGATGAAGAAGAAATGCACAATACTGGGAACCAGCATGCTGGGACACCACTGAGCATGAAGAAAATTTAGGAAAAAAACCCACTCAAAATATCATGCCTGGCTTGTGGGGGTCTGTATGGAAGGCTGAAGGGGAGATAAAAATTGTGATCCTCATAAGAAGCAATATCACAAGATGTAAGTACAATGAATGACACGTCTGGTACATGATTTGTAATGTTTAGTAACAGTTTAGGAAACATGTTCCACAGGACAGCGTGCAAACGAGAAGGAATATACTGAAGCATGCAACTAGGTTTGATCCAAAAAGCTCTGAGAGAGCAAGGGATGTGTCAGAGCTCCACAGTTCTTTGCATGTACATTTTGCATTTTCCAATTGCAGAGAAAAAACCAAGGAAAGGCAGGTCACAGCCATAGCACCTCATGAAGAGCTGCAAACCAGCCAAGGAAGCCAGGAGAGAAAGTTGGGTGACAGAGGGAGAGGAGGTCCAGGAGAAACCCATCTTCAGCAGAAGACAGACACACAGCACCCCCAGGGCAACATAGCCTCAATGTGGGCTTGTTCTGGTAGCAAAAAAGTGCTAAATTACCAACCCCTCATGTTGGATGAGGTATTGGAAGAGCGCAGAGGATCCTGGCCAAATATGACTTAAATTGTGTTCTCTTTTCATGTTTTTCCTCTTAAAATTGTGTTTCTGATGCTTTTATCAAGAAAAACAGTTTGTTCAGATAGAACACATTATGTTCTTTTTAAACTTGTCTAGCACTTCGAGTGATATCCAGGGAATCTGGCAAATGTGGAGGTAATGGATTCAAATGAAGTGTCTTGAAGGTGAGTATTGCATGTGCCTGGAAACCCAGACAAAAGTTTAAGTGTCTCAAGAGCTGGGATAAGTTTCCTAGCCAGCTTCAAGGCCAGTTGGTGGGTTAGTATAGACAGGGAAGAGAAGATACACCCCCTTGATAGCTTTAACTCAGCATCTGTTCAGCACAGAACAGGCAGTGGAGACACAAATCGCAATGCTAGGGAAAAAAATACCCTCTTTGTACATTCTTACTTGGATAAGCAGGGGTTGTGTGTGAAGCACATGGCTGTGTTGTGGCTGGTTTGGTACACGTACCAACCATGGAGGAATATCCACAGCCCCTCCACACCTTCCTCCAGGCCGGGTGCACCATGGAAGAGCTGCTTGGAGAAGAATTAATTTACCCCAGGTCCAGCCAGAGCCAACCTTGGCTTTCCTGGAGAGGAAAAGGTCCATCACAGAGGTGGCTGCAGCTCCAAGGAGCCAGTCTGGAGCCACCGAGAGGTTGTCCAGCTCTGCAGCCACGTGACACCTGCAGACCCGGGGCACTCATCCAGAGCACAGCAGAGAGGTGAAGGTGCTTAGCATGGTGCTGACTCTGGAGACAGCCACCCAAGCGGGCCAGGTCTTCCAGCTGTGAGAAAGTAGCCAACCTCTCACTCGTCTTGGTCCCTGCATCTAGACACCTAGGCAAGGTGCCACAACTGCCTCTCTTCCTCCAGCGTCACAGGTACCCTAACAGGACCATTGAATATGATCCTACAGATTTTGGCTCAAAGCCCATAGACACCACCAGACTTCACCAGGCTTTGCATCAAATCTTACTTTCACTTATTCCTTGCTAGAAAATGACTTGCCTTTCCCTCCATTTCTTCTCCTTATGCAAAGTCCAGGGCTCTCTGCAGCCCTTCTAGGACTGGGAGGGAGCAACTCACTTTTGTAACCCCAGACAAGTTATCTGCACACATCCTCGCTTCCTTCAGTCCAGCAGCCAGTGTTGCCAGGAAGGGAGGTGAGCACACCCCAAGCGAGCAGAGCCAGAAGGCGGCATGGCCACGTGGAGAAGGAGGGACATGGTAGAGTCAGTCACGTGGGTCCACATCCAGGACTTCAAAGGAGCATCAGCAACAGTCAAACACACACTCTGTCTGCTGGCTAAATAATGTCATCTGCAAGTGATTTGTCCTGTCACCACCAGTCTGGATGCTTCGCCCTTGCAGACGATCAAACAGGAGGTCTGCTTTCCAAGATTTGTCATCACCAGAACCCACTGCAGCTGCCTAAATGTCTCTTTCCAAGTAGCGCGAGCTGCAAACACTTCATCAGCAACTTGCGTCATCCCATCCTAAGCACTCCAGCATTTCCAGAGGGTGGAATTAACCCTCTGGCTTGTAGATTCACGCAGCAAATGGTAACATTTGGGCAATTCAGTGGCATTTCTGGCTGCTCCGTGCCAATGCACCTCTGCCTCGTGGGGCTTGAGGAGGCAGCTTCCACCCCGTGTTCTGGCTGGTCCTTGGTCTCCTCACTGAGGCAGTGAGCAGCAATGGCAATGCTCAGCCTTGGCAATGGCAGTGGCTGTGTGACAACTCCAGTCCGTCATGTAAGGAATTTTATGTACTCCTCATGCAAACCATCGCAACAGATGTCAGATGGTCTGTGCAAACCGGGGCTGGATTTCACATCTGGAAATGGAGACAGAGTGGCATCACCGCAGCTGGGCTCGAGACGAAGGTAAGACATAAGTCCAAGCCTGCTGACCCCACTCGGCGTCATGGGAATGAAGCAACCCTGGGCAGAGGAGCTGGTGGGAGCCTCAGCCTTAACAAGACTCCACATGCTGGGATGTCACTACTGAGCTTTGAGGCTGTGCCTCAAAGAGCTTACATTTCTTAGAACATAAATGGGAAAAGAGGAAAGAGGAGAGACCCCAGTTTTGCCCCAGGGAGTGGAGGATTTCTTAGGAGTTTCCCACCAAAGCTGAACTAGACGTGCCTAAGACACTAAGTGCAAGACAGCCACCAGCTATTTGCTGAGTCTTTCTGACCGCCCAGCAGAGATTTGGAGGACAGAGAAGGTAGGTGCAGGATCTCCAATCCTCTGCTAGAAATCCACAAGTGATCACCTGGAGAAGCAGGACTGGAAGACAGCTAGTGGTGAGACCAGCAAGAGGAGGTGTGGGGCAGGGGGTAAGGTGGAGGCCATGCATTTCATAGATAGGAGCTGTTGCTGACGTACATTTGAAGTAATCCTGATTTCCGGATGGGCTCAAGGCTCTGGTCCTTTGGAGGCCAGATGCTATGAAACACCACTGCAGCCCACACAATCTCCCAGCCCAGCTTGCTAAACTGACTGGAAACATCCACGTTACTGGGAAACCACGCAGACAAAAGCAGATGTTGAAGGACATGGGGAGAAGGGAACATCTGGCTGCCTCTGCAAGCCCGGGGCACGAGGCACCCCATCCCCAGGCAGCTTGAGGGGCTGCAGTGACATGGAGGAGCCCGGGGAGAGGACATGGTGCTCACTCAGGCAGAAGGGACTGTTTCAGCCAGGAAGAGCTCAGGGCAACCTCCTCCAAAACCTGCTGTGGTAGCTCAGCACTGCCTGGGCACCAAAAACACTCGTGTCCCTGAGATCACCTCACCCGACCACAGACATGGATCAAAAGGGAGGGAACATATGCAATTCAGACCCAAGGTCAATCCACTGCCTGCTTTGGACCACAAGTGACGGTGAGTTCAACACACAGAGATGCATTCAACTCAAGCCAAAGCCCAGGAAAAGGAGGAAAGCCAGGTCTGACCTTGGCATGGTCCAGTACATGTATGTATGCACGCACTTCACCCAGCAGCTTCCACAACCAAGCTCTTCTGTGTCACCTTCTACAGCAGGCTTGAAGGTACAACCACCTCCTTGCACCTTCTTCCCTCCATCAATGCCTGGGGCCCTTCTCTAGCAACACACTCTGACCACACTCCCTCTCCTTCTCACCCACAACAACCTCCATTCCTCAAAGGTGCATTATTTTTCCAAGACCTTCTGCCTTTTTGCCTGTGGCAGCAGCTACTGAGGAAAAAAGAGAATCCCATCCCCTTCCAGGAAAAGGAAAAGAATCCTTTGATTCTTTTGATTCCTTTGATTCAAATTCAAAAGAATTTGAGGAAAAAAGAGAATCCCATCCCCTTCCCACCCTGCATAGCATGAACGGACTAGGCAAAACTCCAGACACAGTATAGAGCTGGTGGAATGGACAATGATGATGGGTTGACAACGGTCTACTGCCTTCCACCTTGTCCTAGGTTTATGGTCCTTCAAGGGAGATGGCTGGACCCCAAACATGAGCACAGCATCCAGCAGAACAGGAACCCCACTGTAAGACTCTAAGCTTTATCATCAAATAAATTCATGAGATTTGCCAGAGAGCCACCTTCCTGGTCACCAACATCTACAACACCCCCTGTTGGTGGGCAAGCCTGCCTGCCTAGCCAACCCAGCTCCTGAGCCTACCTGGGCCCTAGCTCATCTTCACAGCGCCAGGTGAACTCCCCAAAGCTTTCGTAGTGCTGGTTGTAGTGGTAAAGGACTCGGTGCAGGCTGGGGGAACCCAGGTCCAGCAGAGTGTTGTAGGCTGTTTGCTGCTCCTTGCCGCTGGTGTAGCCATTGAAGAGGTTGTAGATCTTGTCTGCTATTTCTGGGCAGAAGGACAGGGGGTATTCAGGGGGTGCAAGGAAAGGCATGAACAAAACCCAGCAGGCTAAACCTCAGCTCTAGGGAAACCAAGCCCAGAGCCAAGATTTGTCCCCTGAGTTATGATTTACATCATATCAAGACACGGCCAGGTTAGGCTCCCATATTTTGGTCCAATTAGGAAAAGAAACGGGTGATGTCATCAGGTACTGTTAGTGAAATACCGTTTATTTATGAGAAGACACACAGTTGGGGTTTCTTGAGCACAGCCACCACCTACACTACCAGTTGCTTTCTGGGCAGGACAGGCAGGTCTTCTTGGCTATTTCGGTATGTCCTGAATGACTGCCCCCCCCCCCCCCCCCCCCCCCCCCCCCCCCCCCCC